CTCGCCGGCGCGGGAGGGGCCGGAGCGCGCCTGGCGCTCAGGGGCTCAGACGGTCGCTCTGGGGGCCCAGCGCTGTGCCTTCCGACCGTGCAGGGAGTGAACTGGTGAGCATCCCTGCCCATCGAGGCACGATAGAGAGCCCTGGCCAGTTTGCCCGGTGGTTAGAGCGTTGCCCGGCCGACTGAAGGGTCCCGGGTTTAGTTCCGACCAAGGGACATGTACCTTGATTGCAGGCTCGACCTCCGGCCTGGCCCTGGTCCGGGCGTGTGGGGAACACCCAGTGGATGTGTTTTTCTCCCATTGAGGGTTCTCTCCCTTCCACTGTCTCTGAAATGCAATGAAAAAAATATCCCCAGGTGAGGATTTAAAAAAAGGGAAGGACTGAGAGAGCTGAGCTCTGCGTGCCCACTAGAGCTGAAGGGGGTCATCAGTGCACGTCTGTGTTGATACCTGTGGGTCTAGTGGGCTGCTTAACTCTAGGTCCCTCCATGGGATCAAACCCTTTTGAATCTACTTAGTACTGTTTCTTGACTGCTTGATTCTTGGTTCTTTTACAAGGTATCATTTAGAGGGAGCCAGAGTCAGACAGAACCCTCCCACTTGGCCAGTTGGCACAGGAGTCTATTCCAAGGAAGCAGTCTCAACTCAGTTGGCAGGGTTACATCAGATCTCCTGGAGGAGCTTTTTCAAAGTACAGAGCCTTCCCCAGCATCGCCACCATTCTCAGGTGCCCTGTGGGGATCAGGGTCTGTCCAGTGCTGTGGAAAAACTCCCCAGGTGATTTATGATTGACTCATGCAGGTGCACGTGTGTATATCCACCCCCTCTCCCCCTGAAGTCCCTTTTTGGAGCTGGTTTCAAGGTGAATATAATGCCAGAGACTGGGTGGAGAACGGAAAGGCTTCCCATCTCTTCTGGTCTCTGACCATGGATTTCTTGGAGGGCAACTCTTATGCTTTGGGGCCTGCCCTTGTATTTTTAGCTGTTCCCAGCAGACTTCTCCTTCTGGCTAAGCCCAGTGTCTGGCACAAGCTGTCTCTAGGTGGTCTTCTCATTCCTTTGTGCTCTTGGATTGATCCAAGTAAAAAAACTTGGTGTCTGATGCCTCCTCCCAATACTCAACTCCAGGGAACTTGGGAAAGGAATAGCTCACGCCTGTGTCTCGGCTACAGAGGTCTCTAATCAGTGTCCGTACACATCATCTGACTCTAGGGAAGCCTTTTGCAGGATGCTGGGGCCTGGTATTCAGACTCTGGAGCCAATACTTTTTATTTTAGGAGGGGCCTTGCATCGTCTTGATCTAGTTTGCATCGTCTAGTTTATGTGTGTGGTGGATTTTTGTTTTGTTTAGTACCTTCTTCCAGACATCAGAATAGGGGTTTGTTGCCACCTAGGCTTCTGCAGCTGACGTATGAAATCAGGAACTTGGGTGGGAAGAGGATGCTGGCTGGTCCCCTTTGTGGTATGTGGGTCATTCGCCCTCCTTCAGAAGAGGATCGTGCAAGTGGGCCTAGCCCCACTTTCCCTTGTGAACCCCGAAGCCATCCCTCCCTCTTTTTCTAAGATGTTCCTGGGTGGTTTGGGGTCACGAGCCAGCATCCTCAGTATCCAGCCCAGGGTTACCCCGACACACTCCCCATGGAGTTTTTAAAAGAACAAGACCAGCTTTAATGCTTTTGTTCTTGTTTTCTTAGCTTCTAGGGACCTATTAAAAGAGTTCCCACAGCCCAAAAACCTTCTCAACAGTGTGATTGGAAGAGCCCTTGGCATCTCACATGCAAAGGACAAACTGGTCTACGTGCACACAAATGGACCGAAGAAAAAGGTAACTCACTGGTGGCGGGAGCCTGTCGGTCTGACTCAGGACAGAGACTGGCTGCCCTTTTCTCCCTCAGATTTCTTTGTCAAGGAGGCCATTTCTGAATTGAAAACTGTCAGGAGACAATCTCAGAGCAAAGTTAGGTTTGAAGAAGAGCCTGGATTAGGGGATGGGAACACAGGGCAGGTGAGGCGAGGAGCCCTCATCTTGTGTAACACAGGCTTCTGCACCGAGGTCTGGTTTTGGTCCCCCACAGACTAACTCGGACTGCGGAGGGTTGGTGTTGATGATGGAATTCCTGCTCCTAGAGTCTTGTAGGCCTTGGGCCCCACCGAAGCATGCAGGCAAACCATTCTGAATGAAGATTTTTAACCATAAAGATGGGTTCCACCTTGCCCTCTGACTAGAACATGGCACTTTGAAGAAACAAAACAACTCGAGGTGGGACGAATGGCTTGAGAATGAGAGAGTTATAGCTTTATGTGGAGTTAATAGTAGGGGTGGATTCTGTCCTGCGCTCAGCTCTGCTGCTGGAAGGGCCACAGCTGTGCTCTCCCGTCTCCCTGTGATTTGAAACAACTTTGCAGTCTGGGGAGACAAGGAGCCTGATCCTTTCTTCTCTTCCCCAGAAAGTCACCCTCCACATAAAGTGGCCCAAGACCGTGGAGGTGGAAGGCTATGGCAGCAAGAAGATCGACGCTGAGCGGCAGGCTGCGGCCGCGGCCTGCCAGCTGTTCAAGGTGACCCTCCCCTAGCACAAGCCATGCAGACCTCCCTCCTGGGAGACTCCTTGCCCCTTGCTCTGATGGTCTTTCAGGCAGAGGTTGACAGGGTTTTCCACTACTCACCTGTCCTGAGCCCTTCCCACCTCATAGTTCCTTTCCTGCTGTTTAGCCAACTAGGGAATGGATTTTCCCCACTATAGTTACCTACTTTGTGGTTTCACAAACCACAGAGAGGAGCCCTGTATGAAAAGCGCTCCCTACATGCAGCACCCTGGGTGTGCTTCCACTTTGGTTTCTGGTTTTCTTCTCCTACTGTTTCATGTGGGTTTCTCCCTGTAGCCAGATAGTCCTCTCTTACTTATAATAGAGGCATGGTGGTCACTTCTCTCACTTCCCAGTGGTTGGACAGGGGTTGCTTTCAGTGGTGCCGAGCTTCAAAATTAATTCTTACCTACCAGGATGCGTGAAGGCACCTTAAAGCCAGCCCGTGAGCCGCAGGTCATGGTCACAGTCCTCCCCAGCCACTTCTCTGTTCCCTCCTATATTCATAGCCTTTTTTGGTTTGTTTGTTTAATTGTGGTAAAATACACAAAATTTAAAATTTACCATCTTAACCATTTTTAAGCATACAAGTCAGTAATATTAAGCACAGTCACATTGTTGTTGTGCAACCAGTCTCCAGGACTTTCTCATCTCTGCAAAACAAACTACCCATTAAATGACGACACCCTGTTCCTCCTCACCCCACATCCTGGCAACCACCATTCTGCTTTCTGTTTCTGGGAATTTGACTCTTCTAAGTAACTCACATAAGTGGAATCACATAATATTTTGTCTTTTTGTGGCTGGCCTAGTTTACTTACCATGTCTTAAGGGTTCATGGGTGCTAGAGCACATGTTAGAATTCCCATCTCTTTAAGGCTGAGCAGTAGTCCCTTGTATGGATAGACGACGTTTTATCTGTCACCCGCCAGTGGACGCCAGGTTGCTCTACCATTTGACTGCTGTGAGCAGTGATGCTTTAACGTGGATGTACAAATAATCTCTCCGAGACCCTGCTTTCCATTCCCAGAAGAGGAATTGCTGGGTCACATGCTAATTCTAGTCTTAATTTTTTGAGACACCACCACCCTGTTTTCCACAGTGGCTGCACCGATTTCCGTTCTCACCAGCAGTGTACAGGGTTCTGGTTTTCCGCATCCTTACCAATGCTGCTTTCCTTCCTTCCTGTTTTGTAGTGGCCGCCATCCTAATGGGAACCAGGTGGTATCTCACGTGGTTTTGACTTGCGATTCCCTTATGACTGATGATGTTGAGCATCTTTTCATTGCTTAGTGGCCATCTATCTGTCTTCTTTGGAAAAGCGTCTAGTCAAGCCCTTGTCCCATTGTTCAGATGAGTGGCTTGGACTTCTTTGTTGTTGCGTCACAGGAGCTCTTTATATGCTCTGGACCTCATAGCCCTTTTATTCCCTGATGCCTGTGCCCACAGTGTTTCAGTCCATCCGTTCCCCCCCGGATGTGTGTAAGAGCTGCCCTCATGCTTGGTGTGAGGTGCTGGCAACACAAGGGCCACAGAGAGTGCTCCTAGAGCTCCGGAGCTGAGTCTCCCAAGCCTGTGCTTCAGTCCTCTGCTCCTTCTTCCTTACTCCTGGTTGCCTGCATTTCTGTTCTGCCTCTTAGATTCTGAACTCGGGGGGCAGGGACCAGGTCTCCCCTCTCCTGCCGATGCTCAGGGTGGCCAGCTTGTTGCTTTTGTACATACCAGAGACTCAGCAGATGTTCTGTTTGGTATTCTCACTAGAAAACAGGGAGGCAATAATACATTTTAAAATAATATTTTTGTATAAATGGCTTTAAACACGTTACAGGTTATTTCTGGAATATGTTCCCAGCATAGGATTCTTTTTCCTGAGGCAAGTACCTCAGTCACTTCACCCTGGTTTCGATTCTGTTCGGTGATGCCGGTGCCCATCACATTCCTTATGGCTCTAGGGAAGTGCCCTCTGAGCCTTCCCGGGGAACATGGGGCTCCTGTGTCAGAAGGTGTATCTGTTTTATGGTGTGGGCTATACAGGTCCTAGTCACTGAGGCTCCTTAGATCACTTAGTGAGTGTATCTGTTGCCCTGTGGGGTTTGGGATTGGTTTTTGCATTTTGTCCAATAGGCATGAGAATTTCCGTTGTCATTTTCACCTGTCAGAGCTAGATATTTTTGGTTCTCTCTATGCCCAGTTCTGGACTAGGGCCTGAGGCAGGAACACAAGTGGGAAAGCGTGGCTCCTACATGAAGGACTTAGGACGTAACTGGGCAGGTTCCAGGCAGGCCGAGCTGTGAAGGTGCTGTGGACCCTCACGACGCCCCTTTCCCCCCAGGGCTGGGGTCTGCTGGGTCCCCGGAATGAGCTGTTTGATGCAGCCAAATACCGCGTGCTAGCCGACCGCTTTGGCTCTCCCGCTGATAGCTGGTGGCGCCCAGAACCCACCATGCCACCCACTTCCTGGCGGCAGCTGAATCCTGAGGGCATCCGGCCAGGGGGACCTGGGGGCCTATCCCGCCCCTTGGGCCGAGAGGAAGAGGAAGACGAGGAAGAAGAGCTCGAAGAGGGGACCATTGATGTCACCGACTTTCTGTCCATGACCCAGCAGGACACCCCACTCAGGTACAGCTGGAGGCAGGGGAAGCTGACTGCACCTTGACATGGGAATGGGAGGGATGCTCCCTGGGAGCCCCCTCTGCCCCACGTTTCTGCCTGTGTGGCCCACTATTCATTAGTATGTCTGCCCAGTGTTGGGGGAGGCCGCTGTGGTCTTGATCGTGTGGCTGGGCTTTTGCACAGCAGCAGCATGGCCAATCCCCAGGGCACACTTGGTCCCTCAGAGGCGCAGCAACCACTCTGCCTGCCCCCTGCCCTTTGATGTGTGAGAGTCACAGGCCAGCAGAGATGCCCTGCCTGCCATTTTTTCATGACTCCCGGCTGCCTGCTGTAACCACTCAGTGTCCTGCTTCCAGGTTCCCAGAACCTGAGGGGTATTGGCCCTAGGGGGAGAGAGCTTTTTCACCTAAACTTTTGGTCCTCCCAGGGGGGGTTCCCTTGAAATGACAGACGACGACAGTGCTATTAGGGCTTTGACCCAGTTCCCGCTTCCCAAGAACCTTCTGGCCAAGGTGATTCAGATAGCAACATCGTCCTCCACAGCTAAG